CTGAGCGCTTTTGCGGTATGTGTTTTTTTCTGTCTACTGATACCTGAGGATACGTGACTGATTTTGTAACAGGTGTTCAACTACCTCGTCGGTTCCCTTTCTCGGATCTTTACCACGCTGCAAGAAGTTGACGACAAGCTCATTCTGTATGGATTCATTGCTGGGTTTGTCCTGAACGTTATCCTGGCGGCACAGATGGTCTACTACTGGAAGAGCCCGGCGCAGCCCAAGAAGCGACCTACTCGATCCTCTCGGCCACTGGAAAGGGTTCCTGCGGCTGAAAGCACAGGAGTATCGCCCAAGCCCTCCGCCAAGTCGCCCACCACCCGCAGACGGGGATAGATTGGTCGCTTTGACAATTCTCATCAGAATGCTTGAATACAATTTTTAATGTCGTTGAAACCATCCCCGCGTATTCTAATCAATGGACAAGTGCTCGCAGCCATCAGCGCTGCGTCGGCGGTATCCCCGTAGTCATATACCGTAGAATATCCTCCAAGGGAACCGCATGTCCAGCTGCCTGCTGCTGCTGTTGCTGCTGCCGTGACCCCGGCATAGGCGCCGCAATATCAAACTCCAATCCAGCGCCCACACCAGACTTGCGTCGTACTCCAACAACCTCCATCTCTTCTTCCTCCCCCTCCCCTTCCTCCTCACTCTCACTCTCCTCCTCATCCTCATCCTCCAACTGCCTCCTCAACCCGGTAACCACATTCTGAATCCCCATCTCCCTCTCTTCCAGCGTGAAATTCCCACCCCAGTTCCTCCTCCTCGCCTCCTGGTTCGCCTCCACAGGCGCCCAATCCCACAGCTCCGCAAGCGCACCTTCACTCAACGCACCCTGGTCCTCAAGCGCAGACGCCCCCGCCCGCCGACCGCGCGATACCCAGTCCTCAACGCGGGGGTCGAGTTTCGTGCGGAGGAGCTGCTCAAGCGTTGGGGCCTGCGTGCGGCCGGGGTACGAGGGGCCCGGATAGGCGACGAGCGCGGAGAGGAGGTCGCGGTTGTCGGAGAGGTGTTCAGAGACGCTGAGGAGGTTGTTTGAGATGATGCCTGCTTGGGATTGGAGCGAGGACCTGCTTCAATTAGTATTTTGCATCTGGGGGCGGTGGTTGAGGGCCGGTGTACCAGGATGGAAGCGGGTCGCTTTGGTTTAAGCTGCCGATTAGAGAGGCTAGGGAGCGGGTGAGCTGGACGAGCCGTTGGCGGGATTGTTCGAGGGTTTTTATCTGGTCTTGGTCTAGGGATGCCATTTTGCTTTGATATTGCGACTGAGACTTTGGTGCTGGTGAGGAGGTATGCGTGTTTGGACGATGACGGGAGAGGTGCAGACGGCGATAGGCCGATAGCAGGAAGGTTGTCTATTGGCAACCCCACAGCTACAAACGCGTAGGGCTAGATCTACATCTACGAGTTTCTAGTATCTACAACACGGGCTCCGATAGATTCTCCTAGAGTCTCAGGACATGAATACCTGAAGGAGTATGTTCAGTTCCTACGGCTCTACTTGTCCTAAACAGTTAATGACTTCCATTTAGCTGCATAAAAATCAATCGAACTGCTATAAATAGCGTCCTCACCACCACAAAGCCCAAGCAGTAGAATCCTTCAACACGACCACCCTTCGCCATTGGTAACTTGGCATCTTTGGCCGAAACGCTTGGAATGCAATCAGTCCAAGCTGACGATGCTGTTATGCTGGACTCTGGAGATAATTCTGCTGTCACTGACTCGTTGGCGCCAAACCCGTGTTTATTTTTAGCTAGATGCACATCCTGATCCTTCGGCCGAAGAGGGGCTGGTTGGTGAGCGCTACCTTGGCTCTCACCAGAGAAAGGTATAAAAAGACGATGGAGTCTGTCGGACAATTATCTTGAATTTTTGTAGAGTTACTGTGTATCAGATTTGATATTTTTCAATTATCTCGCTGAGCTATGGTCAATCATTGCTAGGAATTGCCCGCCAACTGGTCGACGCCAGCAATACCACCACGCGATAACATCTCGCTCAAACGCCTGAGGGAAGTGGAATGAAGATTGTGTCAACGGATCAAGGAGGGTATATCATTCATTTGATGAATATGACAACATGCGATCGTGCGATTCATTATGCATAAGAAGGGAAGAAACTGGGGAAAGGAAAGAGTTTCTGGCAACGGATAGTGGCCTACACTGGAGAGTATGACCGCCATTCGCATTACTCGATCAGTACATTTTTTTCCCCAACAAATCCCATGGATTGCCATACATCAGCAGGCCAGCAAGGGAGTGATATCGACGTTTACTCACGACCTCAGAGCTACTGCTTCTGGGGAGGTGAGCCACTGCGCTCAGGAAAGTATGTCTGAGCGTGATATCCCTTCTCCTGCTCTGGAGAATGTGTGGTAGATGGGACTGTGACAGGAGATTCGGTGATTTCGACATAATTGGACTTGGAGAATCCCACCTCCTGAGTACGGCCGTCTGTGTCGACGAAGTTGAAGCCATGTCCAGACCCTGGGTGGTGCATCGGTTGGCTATACATTCCATTCTTGGCAGGATCAGCCCACGCCCCGTGAGCCGGGGTACTGATGGTGGTATCGTTCCACCGCGCATGAAGATGGTCCGAACGACGGTTCTTGCGAGCCTGCTTGCGTCGCCAGCGGATAAAGAAGAAGCATCCCACCGCAAGGATACAGATCAGGATCACAAATCCCAGGATCGGCAGCGCAATGATCAAAGCCAGGTGGCTGGAGCCTGAGTTGGCGTTCGCGGAAGGAGAGGTCAGGTCCACTGTGGACTGGGGCAGCATCGACTCGCTGAAGACTCTACTCGGACTAATAGGAAAAGCTTTGCTGGTAGGTGTTCGGAAGTGGCAATTGTAGCGAAGAGCTTCTAGGACTACATCGTTCGCAAGGCTGTCAGTAACTGGCGAATTCAGACTGGAATAAGGTAAGAAAGGGAAAGCAACACACAATTTGCAAGGTAGACCTGAGAATCGGTCATATTGCTGGTCAAATTGTAGCAAAACTCGCACTGGCTGATGAGATTGTCCGCAAAAGACGAAGCACCACACCAGGTATCGAAGTTGACGCCATTCGGATGATCCAAGTCGTACTCGAGGGCCGATGATAATGGCTGGCAGGAAACCACGCAGGGAGAAGAGATATTGGCAACCTGTTCAGGGAAGCCGTACACGCAGCTGCTGAAGGCATAGCGGAGATTGTCTGAAGCTCCGCATTAGCAACTGCATGTCTCGTTGTCACCAAAATGTCGAATATACGTACAGAGTCCCCAACCGACATCCGTCTCCCCCGAAGACGAATTACTGTAAGTGCTTTGCAACTGGCAATCCACGCAGTTTTGAAAGTCGGACCCTTTCGTGGTCTGGCTGAACTGCTGGTCCAAACAAACGATCTCGGAAGCTGTAGTGTTCGAGGACACTTTATTGCAAACATTAGCGCACGGCGAGCCGGGAGTCGTCTTCAGCCCGATCACCACAGGTGTAAGGTGACCGAGGAGCAGGAAAGCAGCCGCCAAAAGCGACGTAGATTTCGGCTTTTGGCTCAAGAAGCCGATCATCTTGAAGGACGAGCCGGACCGATCAATCCAAGCTGATGCCAATTTATTACTGTAAGTTCGAGGAAAGAATAGGCGACACGCCGAGGGTTCGATGGCCGGGCATCGAATTGACAGCGCAGTGATCGAAAACGATAGCCCAAGAAAGTAGAAAGACAGGAAGTGGCCAGTCAAAAGAGCAAAGGTGAAGGCAGGTCACGTCCTTGAGTCAGTTATCACCGTCGCTAGGTTGACATCTTGGTACTCCTCGCGGATTGATAAAGAACCCGACCGGAGGCAACGTGCTGCAGCATGGTCAGGTCGAATTTCTCCTTCCAGGGTCTGTCAGGACGTCGCTTATAGGGTGCAAGCTAGTCGAGGACGATTAAGCATGCACCATGAGCAATGGGTGCTTGTTTGGGCGCTAAGACACACGCTCGCAGAGGCAGAGAGCATTGGCTGGTTATTGGTCTAACCAGCATCCCCCGCGACTGGTTGGAAGAGAAGCGGGACTGGGGCTGGTGCTCAAGACAAATCACCGTCCAGTAGTAACACTCCGTGGCCATTAGGAATTGTCTTGGTAGCAGGATTTGGAGTGTGACAAGAGTCGACCAGAGACTGGAGATGTGATTGTGACTGGGCCTGCAGCGTGTCGCATCGGCTCACGTTGGCCCTGGCAGGAGGCTATGATTCGTCGATCACGAGCGAACCCCTCATTTGAGTGCCCAGAACACCATCTACTTTCACAGTAGGCAGGTAGAAAGTACTTTACAGGTAGACAGTACTAGGACTCGCTCATTGTTGTCTGAGTCCTTGATTGGACGAACGATGTTCATCTTTTGATTGCTGGTTGCTGGGTTCCGTCATTTTGTGCTCGGCAACATAGTGCCGATATCACTTGAATCCAGATCATCTAGACATCCTGTGGAGGCACCTACTGCAGTCTAACAAAGGTGATGGACAAAGAGGTCACAGAAAATAGCCGCTTGTACAGGGTACAAAGCAGCTACCTCGACCCATCCCGGCGTCACGACTTCACTAATCTGAGTCAACAATCATTTGTCCCAGCAAATAGAATAATTCTCAGTAGTTTCCTATGATAATGACATGATATGATAAGGAATGATCAGAAAACCCCCTTGTCCCTAAGAAATTCATACACGGTAGATACTGGCCCATCATTCTCCAGTCCCACTCGATTTGTGCTGAGAAGAGAAGGCTAGACGATCACATGGACCAAAATCAAGAAGGAGCCTCCCATATGAAAAGATAAGACTCCAAAATGCAAAACGTATGTCCTATTGCGCTCTCGCCGGTGGCACAAAAGGTAACGAATCATAATAATCATTAAGAAAAATCCTCGAGCAAAAAGTAATCCTCCAGCCGGAAGGCCTCACGTAAATGGAGCTCTGTCATAACGGAAATGGTGATTGTAGTAGGGAGGGTATGGAGATCGAACAAGCGCTACCCGTAGAGCTCATCGTAGGAGGGCACCAACTCCGGCTCACGAACTGGCTCACGGACTGGCTCAGTCTCTCGAGGCTTTGACCGGCGAGCGAGTTTCTGTTCTTGAAATGGAGAGTACGACATATGTCGAGGATCCTCAGGTGGGACTGACGGTACTGAGGACGTAAAGCTCGTATGCTTGGAACTCGAGGTTCCCGAAACCGATGCTGTCGGCTCGGTGACGCTGCTTTGTTGACTGCGTCGCCGCATTCGCGAGGTGACAGAGAGCGGGGGTGACTTGGATGCGCGATTAAGGTCATCCATATGTGCATTGAGTTTGAGACGATTTAATTCTCGCGGAAGCCGTTTGGGGCCCTTTGGCGGTGGAATAACGTCTTCTTCGGCTTCATCGGCTTCGTCGCTGGAGCATATTTCATCCCAAGGGTTGACAAGGCCCTTCTGCTCACTTACAATTCCACGGTGCTCTGAGAATTTCTGCGTGGGCTGTTCTTTTGTTGATCGACTTCGTAATTTCGCATCGTAGTGTCTGGTGGGTATTGTCATGGCAGAATCGACTGACGATTCCCGTCCTTCCGAGTCCCCAGAATGCAAGGTTGGCTCGGGGCGAGAAGAGTTACTTTCTCGATGTCGAGCCTCTGGCGAACTATGCCTTCGACGTTGTTCCGAAGGGATCTCAGGAGCAATATTCATCTTGATGCTAGAAGGCTGGTCCCACTGACTCCAGGAGCCTTCGGTGGGATAAGTGATTGATACATCGCCCCATCGAGAATGCAGTTCGGAAGACAGCTTGCGCTTCCTCCTCAACTTGCGAATAATGGCCGTCATGATAACAATGGGATTTTTCATCAAATGTACCCCCAGAAGACAAGTTCACTTCTTTAGAAGGTCTCGGGCCGAAAATAATGCCACACCGTCGGGAAGACAAAGTTTGTAGCGACTGACGCAGGAATTATGTATTCCTCTCCTACAGAGACTCCTTCGAGTGAGTCAAAAGGGAGTCAGGCTTTGTAGGGAGAGGAAACAGGAGTGATACTGGACAGCCGACGGCCTGCATGGGATGAGGAGAAATCATAACACATCCATCAGGCACAATCAAATGACAGCCACATAGCTCTATGTGACATGATCCAAAAGGAAAGATCCTGAAGAAGTCCGCTCGAGTAGACGACACCGTAGGACGGGAGTCATGCGAGACAAAGACGCGTTACAGACCCGACAGTTTGGGTCAACCCCCCTTCAGGTGAAAGTCAACGGACCGCCACTTGGAAACTTCATAAAGAAGATCGACTTTGGGCATCGCAGCGGTTTTGGAGCGGCACGCAGAATGACAGACGGTGACTGGTCCTGAAGACCCCGGCAGAGCACTTTCTAGGCAGGGTAGAGAGCAGGCTGCAGTCTCTGGCCCTGCAAGCCATAGTATTAAACGAGAGGGGTACGTCGCGGAAGGAGTAAGAAAAATTGCAAGGAAGGAGAAATTGCGGCGTAGTCACTTTACAGCTCTTGCCGACGCAGCCAAGCGATCTTGGACGTTGGTCAACTACGTTGCACACAACGACGCCCGCAGCTGTCCGCCTTCTTGGCGTGGCGCTTGCTCATCATCTACTGCTCGAAGCAGGATCAGTGGGCGGCCGTATCAATCGATTAAGCCTCGAGAAAATGTGGGACTTTCGCAAGGGGCAATGGAAGATGACCGACTACGTAGAGACTACGGCAGTAGCATCTTCCAACACCGCGGTTGACTCTTGTCGATATTCGCATCCTGGAAAGGAACTCCGTTCCTCTACATCCTGCCTACACTGCCAGGCAGTAGCCTAGATGGACAGGCTACGTAATCTAAGGACAGGTAAGTTGTGGGCATACGTCTTAAGGGTCACGATGCGGCTGAGGAAAAGGTTCGACCAATACTGGGGGAAGAAAACTCCCGTGTGGATGTCATGTCTTACTTACAGGGATCTGCTATTCGCACGCCCCGTGATGCTCATCGCTATCGTATCATCGTGTGGGTGACTGAAAGGGGACGGATACTTGAGACAGACAGGGATTATCAGCAAAAGGAGGGGCAAAGCAACGAGCTGAAGCTCGATCCTCAAAGAGGAAGGCTCTTAGCCTCTTCCTTCGATTGTCCCAAGCGGAGTAGTGCATCCGCCATATTCTTCCGTGTTTTCTTATTCAGAATCCGAACCGACAAGTCATCATAATAATAACGCTAATTGAGTTGGACGTCGTCAGAGTTGAACCCTGGAACCAACACTCGGCGATTATTTAGCGTATTGCCGTTGGTTCAGAAGCGAACAAGCACAAGGTTGATCGTCCCGCAATCCGTAAGCCCGTCGAGGGGCCAAGTGAACCGAACCATCCACAGAGCTTAACTACGCGCCGTGATGGAGCATCAGCTCATGTCTTATTAGTCTAATCACAGTCATTCCGTGTTGTTGTCCTCCAGTTAGAAATTCCAGACTGAATGAATCTAGACGAATAGACCTAATCATTCTCAGCACCTCGACAAGGGAAAAGACATCATCGACTGGCAACTTTGCGACCAGGACGAAAAACTCGCTTTTGTCGAAACCCGTTTTTTCGCCGTTGTTCCGGCCGAATCGAATAAGACTGCGGAGTAGATACTCTTTCAATCTCATTCCGTCAGTCATTTCACTGGTCGATATTCTGAACCCACGCTAATGGCATTCGAAAGGGCAAGGATATACATTGGCAGTGGAACGTAACCAGCACATGCCAGTCCGCCTCAGATCAGGGCCTGGAACGTGATTGCGTGTGCTCAGAACTGACACTCCTCACATCTGATCAAATGTAACCTCGCAGCTTCTATCAAACTTGATTATGGCATGGATCCATAAAAGAAACACTTACTCGCTTACAGCGTCGAAGCGGAGATTCCCGGGCATGCCAGTCGAGCTATTTCCACGAATTGACCCATAAAATGACAAATTACTTTTCCGCTTTGGATTATGTCCACAGAGAGATGCAAATCTCTCGTGTGAGAGCAAACTAATTGTATAGTTAGTTTACCAAGACGCGGATCTTATGGTATTGTGCTAGGTTTCCCCACTGTTGGTATGAAGACGGAGCAAATGTGCCAGAGCAGGAACCTCCTGCCGGTCTCGCAACTTGATGTTATGAGGCAATGGCTCGAGTCTACTTTTAGGGAGGCTTATTACCCTGGACAGGCTAGGATTCCTGACATGTAGCCGTAGCAAGGAGAAGTTGTTATACCTCTGTAATCCTATATCTCATCTTATAAGCAAAGTAATTCAGCCCAAGCCACTGAACCGAGCAAAGTCCAAGCAAATCAAGCCATTCAGCAACAATATCTCGCATGAGCGATCCAAATCACCAGCCAAACACATCAGCGTTTCGAAATCCTCTGACTGTTACCCTGCCGAACAAGCAAAGAGCAACCGGCAGGGCCCTTCCGCGCCGCACATTTCACCAGATAATGAAATTGCCTTTGACGATAGCATTAAGCTGAAAAATCCTCGGCTCCATGTCGAGATGTCTGCCACCCGCACCGTTCTCAGCGTCCTTCCAGGACGCAGGCAAGGCCTCCCCGTTTGCTCGCCATTCGAGATCTGTCATTCGCAAGGGAGCAAAGTTGAGTCCAGCCCTCCTGGCTAATAATTCCGCTCTCCGACCTGCATCCTTCATTGCCAATTGCGCAGCCTTGGACTCTAGAGAATGGGTGGCCTGCTCGCTGAGTAGCCAGTGAAGTTCCAAGATTTCAACGCCCTTATGGTCATCGAGCTGCTTCGCCATATCGCGCATAAAGTCCACATTTCCGAAGCCCATTCTGTACGTCGTCTGCGAGCGGTAGATGCGCGCGTGTGCCGACCTCGGATTCGCATTTGCGGCAACAGTATCGCTTTTCCATTCCGACCAGGTCCGTGTGGGTTCAAACACATGGATTGACTGTGGTGGGAATGCCCGCATCAGGGCTTGAGCACAAGCCATTTCCTTCCTGAGAACGGCTCTATTGGATGCGCCGGAGAGATTCGTCCCAAAAACAAGAACGGCCTGGTCAGCCGGTTGTTGGACAGTTGCGAAACCATACAGGCATAGGCATCCTGCTATCATTTCATCCATGCTGATATGCGAATGGGTGTCCGAGTAAGGTGCGTTCGCCTGGGTACCGTGTAACGAGAGTAACGACTGAAATAAGAATAGGTAATATTATATGGCAGAGACGAGGAAATAGGGCATTAGAGAGAAGTCTCCGCCGAGCGTGTTGTCTCGAGAGACTGGAAGAAAATACATCGAGCTGAGGGTGTCTTGAGGTAGCGGACTCTTTAAGTCTGCACTTTCCTTCCACATCATGCACGATGATGGCAAAGAGGAAGGAAGGAGGTGAGTCCTCTCATTCAGTCTTCATGATGATTCCTTCCTCGCGCCTCAGGTGTTGACTGTCCTCGGGGAGACTTTCGAGCCTATCTTAAGTGACGTTATTTGTCCTAGTATGATTGCTGCCAACTGCAGGTCGAGCTCTACTCAATCAATCATCAACTGGAGCCTCTTCCACGATCCCAGGGCTCTGAAACTTGGATGAAGTGGGCCACATTGCATGTTTCATTCATGAAGTCGTTGTCATCATTTCTGCTGCTTCTGAACCAACGATCACGAGAAGAAAAAGAGTAAGGAAACCCAGGACCCAACGCCATGCGCCATCGCTAATATCCGTTTACGCCGTTTCAACAAACAGAGACATCGCCCTAACGCCAAAATCATGGTCAACTGATACGAATAAGCGTCTCCTCATTAGTTGAGATTTGTGATCAATCTCGACAGCACCGGTTTTGGTCTCCTAGGTAGCCTTGCCGTCTGATTGAGTGTGGTCGAGTCCGCAGGAACCACAGTGGCTTGGAAGAGACTGTCTGATTGTATCGAATCTCGTGTCGAATCTGGCGAGGTCCCCAGAAATGACGGCACCGGTGGCTGCAATAGCTGTGGCAATGGCGAGTCGTCGTTTAGATGTGAGACATGCTCTCTGCGAAGATGTGACCAATCTCTTACAGAAGCATTATCGACCGGCTGAAATGGCGGTTGTCTCATCGCAGAGAACTGCACGGCTGGTGGAATATTGATATCTCTGTACCTGGACGGGTCATAGACCGGTACATGCAACGTCTGATATGCTGGTGGTCGGTCACTGATGTCGTCAGAGTGGGCTCGGTAGATGGAGAGCGAAGATGACGGTCGACCCCGCATAGTTGCAAGCTCAGCATCCTCAGCCTTCAAACCGGCCTGGATATGATACTCGAGGAGTTGTTCTTCCCGTCGACGGATGCGATCCCATCTGCGTTTCTTATAGAAAAAGAAGAGTATGCCCGCGGTGACTGATACAGACTTGTTAGCATTGAAACGTGCACAGGATCCTAATTTGCTAGAAGAGAGTCCTACTCGCAATGGCAGCAACGCCTCCAACGACCACTCCGATGATTATCGGAGTGACATTGTTGGGGTTCCCCGATCCCGAACTATCGATTGAAGTCGACGAAGCGTGGTCGGATTCAACTGGGCCTGAATAGTTGGTATCACGCGAAATGACCATACTGGACAATCGTTTCTTCAGAAGAACAAAGCAATGCTTGTTCGATCCCAATCACAAGCGAAACAATGAGGGGGCCCTGATCCGCCTCGCCAGCCTCTCCATCAACGCTGTTAGATCACCCCCTCTACGATGAGCGGAAGAAAGAGAATATTTAAGTCCTGTCATATTGATAAGCTCAGGCCTGATCACGGTCCCTCGTTTCAGAGCCATGAGTTTAAAGTTATTTTGAGGATCAAGCAATGCGGGATTGTGGTAATCATGGACA